TTTCACGACGGACATAAATTTATGTCCAGCAACAAATATTTTTCATGGTGGAGTCTTTCACGACGGACATAAATTTATGTCCAGCAATAAATATTTCTCATGGCATAGCCTGTCGTGATGGACAAAAATAATTTATGCTGAGTGACAAATATTATTTCATGGTGTACGTTTTGCGATGGGCATAAATTTTCATCTCGATCAATAATATCACGCGCATTTCATCATATACACATGCTAATTTGCGCATTATAAGTAATAAATTATTATCATTAATTATTATTATATTCAAAAGTATCTCAAACGTATATATTTGAAACAGCCATGATTCCATGACCTGTTATTACATATCATTACCTTGAAAGTTCCCGAAAGCGTCCATCTCTTTCAAATTTAATGAGAAGTGGTAATCTTTTCATGTTAACTCTGTATTTTTCTAGTAATGGGGACTTAAGATGGAAAAGTAGTTATAACGATTTAAGTAAGACCTTAAAAGAACATAAAAAATTTAATTCAATTATATTTAAGGAATAAAACACACGCATGTGTGACATAAGCAGCCGTTTTATATTGCTTTTATAAAATATTTTTGAATGATTTTGCATGAGCATGTCTCTGTCCTCTGATATAGACACAGGTAGCCAGACAATCAGCATGTGCATTAAATTTCAAATATTTTATGATTCTAAAGATAGTATATTTACTTATGGGAACTGAGGGTGGTTAAGTGGTAGTCCACGTACTTGCTATTTACCTTTTTATTTATGAATCTTCTCACATCTACTTCTGGAAACTTCATCATATCCAGCGCAATCTATAAAACATATCAAATGAAATTGTTTAATTTAAATTTGGGGAAGAGGAAGGGTTTAGAGGAAAGGGAGGGTTTAGAGGAGATGTAGGGATGGGGAAGAGGAAGAATTTGGAGGAAAGGGAGGRTTTGGAGGAGAGGGAGGTATGGGGAGGAGGGAAAGTTGAGAGACGGAGGGTGAATATTGAATGGGTAGAACTGTTGGGAAATAATGATAGATGTGTTGATCATCACAGTGAATGAGCAATCTAAGCGAACGCTGTAAAGAAAGACTTGAAAAAATGATTTCAAGCTTCAACGGTAATAGTTGTGACCACAGGGTTTGACCACAAGAAGAAAATTTTAAAATATATTGTAAACATACAGAAAGATGCTATGGTAATACATACCTCTTTACCAATATATGAATATGGCTCTTCAAAGATAAGTACTAATGTTTGATACTTTGATCTGCCAGCTTCAAATTCACGTACATATTCATCCCTGTGTTCAAAACAGATCAACCTCCAGTTATAATTGAAACAAACTAAGTATCTAATAGAAGCACCTACAGCTGACATCAGAAGTCTCTACCCCCCTCTCCTGTCCACATCAGACAAAGGTCCACCACTCAGGCTAATCCAATGGACTCAGAAGTACAGGAGTGGGGGGGGGGGG